TCTCATTTTCTATACACATGCTTTACTTGTTCGATTCAGCTCTAAAAATTTTGCTTCTCAAAAACTTCGTTTTATTTCATTCTCCCACACCATTTTTTCGCAATCTATTTGAACCGCTTGCGGCGCAGTAGCAAGTGTCGATTTTATTAAAATTTAAATTCTAATTAGAATACCAAATAAATAAAAGAAAAACTATTCTAAAATTCATCCGACTGGAATTTGTGTGCACACGCATAAGAGAGTAAAAAGCGGTGACAACGTACCTATGTATGCACATAGATGTACATATGAAAAATCTCTCGGTCATATTATTTCAATCTTCCATTCCACTGACAACAGTTCTCATCTTTTTAATTTCTCATTTTCCTTGCGCACAACCTTTGCGTTGCGCATTTGCTACACCCATCGGCGCGGTATCAAAAGTCGATTTCTTATGAAAATTTAAATTCTAATTAGAAAACCAAAATAAAAGAAAAACCATTCTACAATTCCTCAGCTTTGAATTTGTGCGCATACGAGAGTTTTAAGTGCGGTGCCAACGTACATTTGTATGCACATACATATATATGTATATATATGCAAAACCTCTCGTTCATCTTATTTCATTCTTTCATGACATTGGTCGCAACCGCTTGCGTTGGTGCCACAGATAAACGTTTTCCATTGTCCCAATGTCTATTGTTCGTTGCGCATCAGTTATAAGTTTGCTTTGCTCAGTTTGCTGCCCCCATGGACAGCGAAGCAATTGTCAAAATTCCCATTAAATTCTAATAAGAACGGTGATGTAAACAAAGAAAACAAATTGATTTGCTTGGATTTGCGTGCATAAGAATCAGTGTTGCCTTTTCGGTGCCTTTGGAGCTAGATTTAGCTCTTTATTTTTCTATATAGCTCCGAAAATTGGGCTTTAGCTCCTAGCTCTTTTCAAAAGTATCCAGCACCTTTTCAGCTCCAGAAAGTTTTAGTTGTATTTGGTAATATATATTAATATATATATATTATATACATATGTACATACATGTCTGTATATTGTAGTATTAAAATTGAAGTGTGGTAGCAATAAAGCAAATAGTGCGGCTATTAATAACTGCCATATATTCTTACACATATATGTATGCCTAAGAAATTGAATATTATCGTCGGTGTGGTAAACTTTACTAAGCATAAGCAATCTCGAGACGATAATTGTCATAAAGAAGGAAAGAGGAAAAATCTTGGGCGAAGTGCTAGTGTATGCCCAGTGGTAAATTTTGCGCATCAAAGTTCAAGTGAGTGGATTTTTTTTACCATTTTTGCAAGGCCATCACACAGGACTTTCTGCATTTTTCCAAGAGATTTTCGGTTTTCCCTATTCAGGTGAAAGAAATTCTTATTTATTCCCCCGTAACTAAACACGCAGGTGTTGATTTAAGTACAAGTCCGGGTTGCTGAGACATAGTGCTTCCAAATTCTTTTCGCATTACGAGCATAACCCTCTATTTAAAACCAAATAATTTACATTCGGAAGGTGCCCAAGCAGCAGTGCGCGTAATCCCACAGTAAGCACAGGTACGCAAGAACAGTATACCTATTGTTTCACTGCAGTAATTCCAAAATTTTTTTCGTTTATGCAGTAAACACTTAGGTGAATTCAAAAAAAAAAATAAAATATATATATATGTAGTGTATTAACACGTCTTTTCTATATTAAGCGTAGCAACGGAATGAACATTCTCTTTATTTAATAATTCATATGAGCAGAATGTTACATGTGTGTATGTGCGCTTATTGCTGAATAAGTATGAGGTAATAAGTAATAAGTAATGAGGAATAAGTAATAAAGAATGATTGGCAAGGATGCCAGATGAACGTATATAACACGCTCCTACTTAAGTTTAAATTATATAAGTTCATTATGGTTTCCACTACTTATGTATGTAGGTATCTAGACATTGTACTTCTGTTTTTATAGATTTAAGTATTTTATACAAGTTTTAAAAATTCAATTTATGAAGATGCTTAATCTAAGTAAAGTTTCTTAGTTATATATTTGGCTTAACAACTTTTCCTTTGTGTCGTGGTCTCAGCTGTCTTACGTCATCATCAGTGTATGCCTCTTCCAGGCCCAACCGAGGTTGTTCTGCCCCACTATCAACGATGTTGTCGGAGGTTTTATCTGCCACCACTGACGTGTTGTGTGTATCATGACAACCTTGGTCAGACTTTGGAGACTCAATACCGCGAATTTGGTCAAGGTGTCTTTTGATTATCTTATTGTTGTGTTTTAAAATGCAATAGTATGAACGAGGCCCAAGTTGTTGCTTTATTGTGGCCTTAGACCATGAAGGCTTGTTTGGATTTTTGTAGTTGCGAATAAGGACATTTTCACCATTTGAAAACTTTACATTGCGTTGTCCTTTGTGATTTAAAATACTTTTTTGTTGGCTATCGCTTATTTTATGTTGAACTAACGGTGGTCGCAATGAACTAAAACGCGTTTTTAATGATCTACCGAAAAATATTTTTGCAGGAGTTTCACCAGTGGTACAATGCTTCGTGTTGCGATAATCAAATAAAAATTGCAAAATGATTGTATCTAAGTTTGAATGTTTGGACGTTTTTAAAACAGCGAATATTGCTTTTTTTAAAGTTTTAACAAAATTTTCGGCTTGGCCATTTGTTGCCGGATGACCAGGTGCCGTTAAAATGTGTCTTATGTTGTTTAATTTTAGAAAACTCTTAAACTCGTCAGAAGTGAACTGCCTACCGTTGTCACTTACAATGGTGTCAGGCAGCCCATAACGCGAAATAAGTTCTTTTATTTTACCTATTGTAAACGTAGATGTGATGTCCTTGGTTTTAAAAACCTCGGCCCATTTCGAGAGTGAGTCAATGACAATGAATAAATAGTGACCATTTATGGGACCTGCAAAATCAATATGAATTCGACTCCATATGGAGTCACATGGTTTCCATGGAATTAGTTTGCTTTTCTCTGGACTCACTTGAAGCTCTTGACATGGAGCACAGTTACGGACAAGTTTTTCGATATCTTCATCGATTTTAGGCCACCAGACGTATGATCTGGCTAAAGCTTTGGTTTTTACAATGCCTAAATGTGACCTATGTAACCCCATTAGGACATTTTGTCTTAACTTGGTTGGAATTACTGTCCTGTATCCCCACAAAATACAGTCGTTTTCGACCGACAGCTCCAAGTCCTTATCCCTAAAGGCCTGGTATTCGACACCCTTGAGGTTTTTAACAATTCCTCTCTGAATTGCCTCAGTCAATTTCGACAGGACTGGGTCACGCTTAGTTTCCCTTGCTACATCTTTGAAGCTTATGTGCAAATGATTTTCAGATTCAATGAGATTTATGAAATTGCTTTCAATTTGCTTATCTTTAATATTTTCAACATTGGGAATTCTCGATAAACCATCAGCTTCATTAGATTTGCCTTTTACGTATTGAATAGAGTAACTGAAGGTCGATAATAAAACGGCCCATCTTTGCATACGTGCCGCTGCCATGACCGGCAGTCCTTTATTTTCACCAAAAATTGTCAAAAGAGGTTTATGATCAGTTCGTAATGTGAAATGATTTCCTAACAAATATTGTTTCAATTTAATAAGACAAAACACTATTGCCAAGGCCTCCTTTTCTAAGGTACTATAGTTTCTTTCTGTTTTCGATAGTGCCCTAGATACAAATGCAATTGGCCTTTTTTTGCCTGTTGGAAATTCGTGAGAAAGAATGCCTGCCACTGCGAAATTACTAGCATCCGTCGATAGTATCATGGGCAATTTGGAGTCGTAATGGACCAGCACTTGGTCTGATGTAACTTCCCTTTTGATTAGTTTATACGCAGTTTGGCAACTTTTCGACCATGTAAATTTAACGTCTTTCTGCAGCAACTCATACAATGGAGCCATTTTATGAGCAAAGTTAGAAATGAATTTCGAATAATAATTTACCATGCCTATGAACGCTCTTAACTCACGGATGTTTGTTGGAGGTGGAGATTTTGAAACACTTGTAATACGATCATTATTTTTTGTTAGCCCTGTTTTGTCGATATTGAAACCCAAATACGATATTTTGGTCTTAAAGAACTCACATTTCTTTAAATTTAACGTAAGACCTGACGATTTTAATTTGTTTAAAACAGTCTTTAGGGTAGCCAAATGTTCTTGAAAATTTTTACCTGCTATGGTAATGTCTCCTGATAGACAACGACGTGTGGAATATTGCAAAGCAAACTTTCCATCGTCTTTTGAAAAATTGGCGCTGCTACCTTTATACCAAATGGTAAACGTTTTACCTTCAGGGTACCTATGTGCGTACTCCAACTACATAGAAGCTGAGACTTTTCATCCAATACTAATTGGTTATACGCGCTTGACATATCAAGTTTGGTAAATATTTCGCAGCCTTGTAGAGAGGCAAAAATCTCATCTATTCTAGGTAGTGGATACCTGAAGTCAACTAAATATTTATTAAGCGTGACTTTGTAGTCACCACAGATTCGCAATTCGCCATTTGGCTTTAAAATTGGGACTAAGGGTGTGCCCCAATCCGAATGTCAACCGGCTCTAAAATATCTTGTTTTATTAATTCACGCAACTGTTTTTCGACCTTATCTTTCCAAGCAAGTGGTATCGTGCGCGGTTTAAAGAACACTGGTTTTGCACTATCACTAATTTGCAAAGAAATTTGGTGATTAACGTATTTTCCTAGTCGATCATTAAAAATTTCGGAATATTCTGACTTTATTTGCTCAATTATAACAGCATAATTTTTTTCATTTACTACTAGGTTGACTTGCGTTAGCTCAAAATTGTATGCCCTCAGAAATGACCTGCCCAATAAAGGTGGATTGTCGCTATTCGCAACAACAACTGCTAATTTTCGCTTAATACCTTGATACGACACTATTGCATTGTACTCACCCAACAACTTAATCTTATCGCCGTTGTAACTTACATACGGAACTGAACACGAGTTTAAACATTTACTACCTTTAAGTTTGTTGTAAAGACTGATAGGTATCATTATACATGGGGCGCCAGTATCGCAAGTCATTCTCACATCTACTCCATCGATTTTGATAGTAAGCGAATATACCTCGTTTGGGCCTGTAGGAGAAACATTGAAAATAAAGTTGTTAAAATGATCGATTTCATTAGACTCATCTGAGTCAGATACATAATTAATAGTTTTATTGTTTTTGCTACGACAAACTGAAGCCAAGTGCCCAACTTTTCCACAGGAATTACATCGAGATTTTGCATATTTACATGCATTTGACGTATGGTTACGCCAACCACAGTGCGAACAAATTTTGCTGACTTTGCTTTTGCCATTATTGCGTTTCCCATTAAAATCGTTTTTACCGCATTGCTTGTTACTTTGCTTGCTGTTGTTGTTGTTGTTGTTGCGCTGCATACTGGATTTGTCTTTGACCAATTTTACCTCAAGATCTGCTTTGTTTGCTTTTGCTGCCTGCTTCGTTTCTAATATAAGTGCTCGTTTTAATGCGCTCGCCAATGTGAGTGTCTCATCTTCCTCGCATAACCGTTCAAAAATTTTGTCAGGCAGTCCAACAACAAATTGATTTAGAACAAAGGCATCTAAATGTGTGCCAAACTTGCAATCCAATGCCAATTGCTTTACCCGTGCATACGATTGGGAAACGGTTTCTTCGTTGCTTTTTACTGACATGTGGAATTTTTTTCTTTCGTAGAATATGATTGTAGGTGGTGTGTAATGAGTTTGCAAAATTTCACACAACTCTTTAAACGTTTTGGAAACTGGTGATGCTGGGCTGCATAAACTATGCAGCAATTTATATGGTTCGGAGCCAATCGATTTTAATAAAATCGCCTTTTTTATATTTTCTTGTGTACAATTAATTTCACACAAGTGTATGTCCAGTTTTTCCTTCCAAACGTGCCATGATTCCGTTGCCGGTGTGAATTCTGGTGCACTTGCTGATTGAATAATTATACCGCTGCCGGTTGCAGGTTCAGTCGACATTTTTCACGCAGGTTCTTTGTTTAAATTTAATTTCACCAAAAAACTTGTATCGAATAAAAAATCTATTGATATCAATATGTACTGATATTTTTACTTTTATTTAAACCGAGTCGTCGCCAATTGTAGTGTATTAACACGTCTTTTCTATATTAAGCGTAGCAACGGAATGAACATTCTCTTTATTTAATAATTCATATGAGCAGAATGTTACATGTGTGTATGTGCGCTTATTGCTGAATAAGTATGAGGTAATAAGTAATAAGTAATGAGGAATAAGTAATAAAGAATGATTGGCAAGGATGCCAGATGAACGTATATAACAATATATATATATATATCAAGTATAAACGATTGTATCGAATTCAAACTACATAGTCATAGCAGATTGAATTGACAGACTTGCTTGTATTGAGACAAAAATCAAAATAACAATAACACCAATCAATACATACAAATTTATTTTGAAAATTATGTACATCCACCATTCATATCTTTATATATATGTATACCTACATCAGTATCGCTAAAGAAAATTGGGTATGTATATACCTATATACGAGCTTGAGTCTACCTAACCAAAACCAACAACAAACCAACACAAGCAGAAAGAAGATTGTTCGTTAATCAAGTGTTTAGCAAAATATGTCTTTGCAAGCTATGTCACGTTGTGTTGCATAGTACAAACAGCAAATATTCTTTTTCCAAATTTTTACGTAAATAAATAAAATACTAAAATAGACATTTCGTACTAGTTGCTTAACTTAGTTCGTCAATTTGTATACCAAATAGCACTGCGCAGCCTCTGCTTGCGTCGGCACCGTAAAGCATTGGTACGCTATTGTCGTTTACAGGGTGTTCGTAGGTTTCTTACGTCCAACTTTTCCGTAAGAAAGCATAAATCCTGGGTGAATAAATTTCTACAAAAAAAAAAAGGAAAATATTGCTAAATCCCGATTGCTAATCAGTAGCGTTCCCTCTGTTCCACTCTAAATTAAAGACTACTCCAAATTCATAATGTCGATCAATCAGGACCTTACCTCCCAGTTCATCTTTGAGTCTAATAGTGTCATTCACCTTTGTTCTAATTTTGAACGAGAGGACCTTGCTGACCACAGCGACTCGCTACTTGAAGTGAAGCTTCAAGACTTAAATGCACGCTGGGAAAATTTGCGTTCCTCTTATGCAAACGTATGCATTGCTGATGAAAGCTCCGTTTCAGCAGAAGTCAAGGCAGAGGCTCACGACAAATTTCAGCTGTGCGCAGACACGTTTTACATTTGTAAAGCCCATATCTTAGATCAAATTAAACTTATTCAAGGTACCCCAACCAAAAATTCGAATTTGAATCACTCTCTTCTGTCTCAGTCAGATAACGCAATGGCTTGCAATAAAGTCCCTCCATGCGACACGGAAGTATTTTATGGCGGTTACGAAGATTGGCCCTCGTTTCGTGACATGTTCACGCCCGTATTTCTGAACCACCCTAAGCTAACCCCTGCTCAAAAGCTCTATCACCTCCGAAACAAAACCAGAGGTAAAGCAGGTGGTATCGTTAGACATTATAAGTTATGTGACGAAAATTTTGCCCTAGCCTGGGAAGCCTTGCGTGCGCGTTATGAAAACAAGCGAACGTTAGTCGATAACCAGTTGAAGACGCTATTCAGTCTCCCGGCAGTTAACTCCGAAAACAGTGAGGCCATTCAAAGAATCCAAACCACAATTAATGATTGTCTTTCTTCACTAAATTCTCTAGGCGTTCCTGTCGCTAATTGGGATCCAATTCTTATTTATTTTTATTCGACGATACTCCCAGAAGAAACCCTTTCACTCTGGGAGCAGTCCCTTAAATCTCGTAAGGAACTACCATTGTGGTCTCATATGGATGAATTCTTAACCAGTCGTTACGAAGTCCTAGAACGACTCAACAGTATTCGATCCACCAAGAATCGGCATTCCTTTCCACAACGCTCCAATAAAATTCAAGCCTTTCACTCTGTAAGCTCTGTAGTAACCCGCATTCTCTAAAAGTTTGTTACAATTTTCGACAACTTAGCGTACCAGAACGGAAAAAGTTCTTTGAAGAAAACGGATATTGTGTCAACTGCTTGGCATATAATCATGTCTTAAAGGACTGTCAAAGTACTTTTAAATGCTTTCAATGCAAAAGATCACACCATACCCTCTTGCACTCTGAGTCTAACCCACAAAATAAGTCTTACGCTCAACGTCCGATGACCCAATCAGGCAACCACTCAACTTCGTTGTTGCACCACAATCAGCGCCATCTACTCCAACTCAATCTGACGAAACCCAATCGAAACATCCAATTTTGGAGCTATCGCAAAACATCAGCCCTACTACAGATGGGGATCCAGCTGTTGTGCAAGCTAATTTTTCTAGCAATAACGAAACCACTCTACTGCCCACCGCAGTCGTGCATGTTGAACATCTAGGCGAATTATACTCGCTTAGAGCTCTCATCGACCAAGGGTCATAAAAAACCTTCATATCTGAAAGATCTCAGAAAAGGTTGCAACTTCCCACAACCAAAGAAAATTTCTCTATAACTGGAATGGGCGGTTCAATGGTCGAAAACGTCAATCGAGTTTGCAACCTCGTTCTTGTTTCCAAAAAAACCAACACCCGCATAGAAGCCCAGGCAAATGTACTCCACAAATTAACCAGTTTTCTCCCCACCTTTCACGTGAAAAAAACCCAGTTTAGCCGTTGTAACAGACTTAGATCTTGCTGATCCAAATTTCTTCAACCCTTCTCAAATCGATATCGTCCTTGGCAGCGATTTAATGCCACAAATTCTTCTAGGATNACAACCAAAGAAAATTTCTCTATAACTGGAATGGGCGGTTCAATGGTCGAAAACGTCAATCGAGTTTGCAACCTCGTTCTTGTTTCCAAAAAAACCAACACCCGCATAGAAGCCCAGGCAAATGTACTCCACAAATTAACCAGTTTTCTCCCCACCTTTCACGTGAAAAAAACCCAGTTTAGCCGTTGTAACAGACTTAGATCTTGCTGATCCAAATTTCTTCAACCCTTCTCAAATCGATATCGTCCTTGGCAGCGATTTAATTCCACAAATTCTTCTAGGAGTCAAACATAACGTCTTCGGGAGTCTGTTAGCGCAAAACTCCATATTTGAGTGGTACCTGAGTGGACCGATGAAACGAAAAGTGCTGTCATCTTTTCATACGCACGTCGTGGAGGACAATAGTGAAAGCATAAATTCTCAACTAAAAAAATTTTGGGAAATTGAAGAATTACCAGATAATCATCAGCCATCCGAAGACGATGTCTTTTGTGAGACATTCTTTGTTAACACAATATACCGTCAACATGACGGGCGCTATGTTGTTCGTCTTCCCTTCAAAAGAACATTTCCATGTGGGCTCAGTCTCGGTCGTTCTCGTTTTCAAGCCATGAAGCAAGCACTTCGCATGGAACACACTCTTAACAAAAATCCCAGCTTAAAAGAAGAGTACACTCAAGTATTGGAGGAGTACTTGACGTTAGACCATATGAAACCTACCTCTTCCGAAGAAATCTATGATAATGGAACATATCTATCCTTTTATTTACCTCATCATTCGGTCATTCGTGCCGAGAGCAAATCCACCAAAGTAAGGGTGGTATTTAATGCGTCTAAGTCCTCTGAATCTGCTACATACGGGCCCAAGCTTACAAACCGATTTAATGGTTGTAATATTAAACTGGCGTCTATATCGATATGTTTTCAATGGAGACATCCAAAAAATGTATCGACAGATCCTCGTACATGAACAGGATCAACAATTCCAACGTATCCTCTTTCGTAGGAAAAATTAAAGCAAACCCATTGACTTTGCACTAAAAACAGTCACCTTCGGCGTGAATTGCGCCCCATACCTGGCCATCCGCACTTTACATCAATTAGCAAAGGATTCCCAACTCCCGTATCCATTAACCAAACGCATTCTCACCGAGGAAACATATGTCGATGACATATTATCCGGAAGCCATGATATCCCATCCTCCTTAAATGCACAATCCCAACTCATTCAGTGCTTATTATCGGCTGGATTTCCACTAAAAAAGATTACTGCCAATCATCCAGAACTCCTAAAAAATATCCCAACAGAAGATTTGCTGGACTCAGATTTTCTCAAGTTTGATAGTTCAAGCTCCACCAAAACACTCGGCATACGGTGGAATGCCCTGAACGATTCATTCTCATATTCTATTCAGCCAATAAACCCATCAACAAGTGCAACAAAGCGTCAAATTCTTTCGTCGGTGTCGAAACTTTTTGACCCGGCAGGGTGGCTATCGCCCATCATTATTCAATCAAAAATGCTTTTACAACAACTTTGGCTAGAGGGCACAGAATGGGACGAATGCGTCAAACCACTTTCACTGCACAAGTGGAATCAATTTGTCGTAGATTTACCAGCAATAGATCAAATTCAAATACCCAGATGGACAGAATTCGCTCCCGATCGAAACATCCAAATTCACGGATTTTGTGACTCTTCTGAAAAAGCCGACTGTGCATCAATTTATATTCGCGCCCAATCACACGATCATCATGTTACTTCTCATTTACTGTTTTCCAAATCTAAAGCGGCTCCGTTACAAACCATAAGCCTTCCGCGGTTAGAGCTATGTGGAGCAGTTTTATTATCCAAGGCAATCAAAAATGTTATTTCCCAGCTTCCGCTCGTGAAATACGAGTTATTCCTCTGGTGCGATTCATCTATAGTCCTCTCGTGGTTAGAAAAACCACCATGTACTTGGAAGGTATATGTGGCAAACCGCACAGCCCAGATAATCAAAAATGTCGGGAACGTCAAATGGAGGCATATTTAATCTAACCAAAACCCGGCCGATTTGGGCACACGCGGCTGCAAGCCCCAAGAGTTAGTCCATAACTCACTTTGGTGGCACGGTCCCGAATGGCTAGTGAAACCCGCGGAGCAATGGCCAATATCCTTTCAACACAAAAT